TACCTCTCGTCTTGGCTTTTGGATCTCCCTTCTGAAACACAGAAAAAGCACTGGTCATCTTCTGGTAACAAGCTTCGACAGAAATATCACATTGTTGATAATAGCTAGACCACCAATTCTCATATGCTTGTGTGCTATAGAAAGAAAGCTCGAATTCTACAGAAGAAAGCTCTGGCCTACATTTTCTAAAGAAGCTAATGGCTTCGTTCAAATTGTCAATGCTTTTTCGAGCATTATCCAAGACACTCTGATTTGTCCCTTGAAGCATAAGAGTTGGCCTGAGTTGGCTTAGGCCAAACTGTCGAGCCACCAAATTTGGCTGATAAGCGACCACCTGATAAGGTCTTGGAGTGAAGCTACAGAAAAGAAGTTGACAAGAGAGGAAGTGCCTCCAAATTATCAAACTTTCAGCCTGGGCACCTGGAGTTTTCGACGGGAAAGGGCGTTTGAACCAAACTGGTCCAATTTTTCGAGAAGAAAATGGGGCTAATTGAGGACTGAAGGTATGTAGATTCAAAAAGAAAGTAAAATATTGTCGAAAAGCATCACAATAATGCTTTTTAGCAATACTTGGAGTAAGAAAAGTAAGTCGAAAACTCTCTATTTCTCGAGAAGTATGAGGAGGTTCAGAACTTTGTAACTTATCTTCATAAATAGCATTCAGCCACAGCTGAAGCAACCAAAATGGACCACTAACGACAGGTAAAGACTCATTAGATCTTAAAGAAGCCACTACTTCGTTCAAATTTTCATAAAGATTCCCCAAGATCAGCTTCCCCAGGCATATTAAAGATTCTTCATGTAAAAGTTGGGCAAGAGTAAGAAGGGCTTTTGGAACTTGGAGTGACCTCGAGCAAAAAACATATGCTGAAAGCCAGAACATAAGAAAAGCAACATGTTCTTCATCAGTAACTTGACCATCTCTATTCATGTTGAGAGAGATGAAAAGTTGATAAGAAAGTTTTTGAAAATTAAGAATTACATCTGGGTTTTTAGGATGGGAATCTGGTCGAAATGAGGGGCCAGTAGGCTTGAGCCCAGTAATAGCAGCAACATCAAAAAGAGTAGGGGTTATCATACCGCAAGGAACATGAAAAGAACTGGTACTTTGATTCCAAAAGAAGAAAGAGCTCATGATCATGGGAAAATTATAAGACAAATTGTACCTAGAAAGTTGAATTATGTCGTAAATCCCTATCACTTTCCAGCTATCTTGTTTTTCCTTTTCAACTCTATCCAACCAAGGAAGATAAAGATCTTTAGTAACTGGGGGCATAGTACGAAAGATTTTTTGTAAACTTTGGAGGGAATCTAGATTATATTTCGAGGAAAAAGCCATGATCCCTTCGACAGAAAAAGGAGAATCAATAGAGTCCTGAGGAACAAAAGGACCTAAAAATGCATGGGGCTTCGAGTTCATTGTAAAAGGAATAAGTACCTGGGATTTCCAAATAGCCAACTTCTCCTCTTCGAGAGGCGGCTCAGGAAGGTAGCTCGAATGACCAATAGGCACGAGCTCAGCATTGGAGAGAGCCAACGGGACCTTAGACTTAGAGGCCATTTCAACGGAAAAAGAGAAGATAGGAAAGAACTGGAAGAGATTTCGACACAAAAGTAGAAGAGAGAGAACAGAGCTCTTAAGAGGGGAGTAAAATATGAAAGTGTAAAAAATGGGAAGGTAACTTCACCTTTTTATACTGGTCCCCAACCTCGTGCAAGGCCCATACAAGAGCCCAAGTCCAGAGTATTTTGGCACTTAGTGGAAAGATGAAGAGATAGTGGGGTGTCTTTTCGATCAAAAATGGCCTTAAATCCCCAACAGAACGGAGCACGTCTCAATAATGGGACATTTTCGGTAACTGCCAAGCAGTACCTGCATTTATTGCGCCGACTTTGGACGACGTGCCTGACATAAAGCAGGTAAGTGGCAGAGACGCCATAAGAAATGGCGGGAAAATTAGAAAATGAAAATTTTCCAATTAAAATAAAAAAATATTAAAATCTCATCTACCTGAGATATTAATATTTTGGGGGGCATCTGTTTGGGATAAGGAAAATTTTCTAAGTTAAAAATCATCTTGAAGGAAACTACATTTCAACAAGTTTTGAGGGTCAAGAAGGAGCCAAAGATAAACCTGAAAATAAGAGAATATTGGAATATTTTTTGTTTTAATTAAAAGGAACACATTTCGAGCTATTTTAAGAGATTTTTGTCACATTGTTGATTTTTCTCTAAACTGCTTGAAAGACAAGAAAATATTCTAAGACCACAAAACTAAAGGCTTTTTCGAGAAGTTTTGAGGAGTTTTTAAGTCACTGACACCAAAAACTACTCGAAAAATAGAACTGGCAAGAAAATATTCCAAGTCCACAAAACTGATGGTTTTTCGAGGAGTTTTTAGGAGTTTTTAAGTCCCTGACACCCAAAACTGCTCGAAAAACAGGACTAACAAGAAAATATTCTAAGTCCACAAAGAACTGATGGCTTTTCGAGGAATATTTGATGAGTTTCCAAGTACTTGACACCCAAAACTGCTCGAAAAGCAGGAAGTGGTAAGAAAATATTCTAAGTCCACAAACTTGTCTGAGTTCCAGATTTCCTCTAGAATTGCTCGAAAAACAAGAAGTGGTCAGAAAATATTCTAAGTCCACAAATCTGGTCGAGCTCAAGAGTCCCTCCAAAATTGCTCGAAAAACAGAAATGAGCAAAGAAAATGTTCTAAGTCCACAAGACCCAGACAGACTCTCAAAACTCCAGAATGGCTCGAAAAGAGAAGTCAAGAAGAAACTATTCCAAGGCCATAACATTAAAAAAGTTTTCTAGGTTTCTCTCAGAAATACTCGAAAGATAGGAGTATTGAAAAATCCAAAAGCGGTTACCAGTAGTTATCAACATTCACCACTACGCAAAGGAGATCATGGGCGATAGCGGTTACAACAAACAACACGATCACAAGCAATCGTGGATAGTGAGCATCAACAGTTGAAGGCAGTTACTAAGAAGTGCCCGCAAAAGGAGGAAAACGGTGGTGATATTCATGTCTATAAATACTACAAAGCATTATTTCACAAAGGATGACTTTTTGCACCCAGACACCGCACCTAAACACTCTGAGACGCTGAAACCCTGCACCGCGCCAGACACCAGCTACAAGGAGACCTACGGTGGCCGCTGTTCGCCGTTGTGAGGAGTCGTACGTTTATATTCACCCACCTTTAAATTCCTGCACATTTCCATTCCTGCATTTCAATTCAAGTTGCTTTGTTTAAATTGCTTTTGTTCCTGTTTCTGCAATTCTGCATAATTACTATTCCCTATTCTTGCTTAATACTCTTTTTCGCCGTTTATTTGAGCATCACATTAACAACACACTTAAAAGAACCCAAAGAGGACCTAAATCCAGTCTTCAGATTGATCTTTAAATTATTTGTTTACAAATTGTCATTTTTCGCCGTAAACAGTTGGCCATCTTGCTATGAGCAACATCTTTTCTTTTTTCTTTCTCGTTTTTAATTCGAGAAACACGGTGGTTTCGTTGGCAATGCTACTTACATCATGGCATGTGTCACCTTTGGTTTAATTCGGTCAAATATATAATGATAATAATAGTGACGATAAGTGAGGCTAAACCAAAAAATGTGGCCCCTTACTCCCTTCACGTTCTCATTATGCCTTGAAAATTCGAGATATGTTAATAAATGAATATTCTCTCTGATATTTCAAAATCTGAAATCAAATATTAAATAGGAATTCCATATTATTAAATAGCATGTTTAGAAATTTTCATAATCGATTTTGAGAAATTAAAAAGTATCTCTTTCGTTAAATTAGCATAAAAAAGTGTGCACAAACTTTCATAACCATTTACTTTTACTGCAAATGAATTTTAACTTTACTCAAAAAGGAAAAAGAAAAGCTTTCAGTATTGAAAAACCTACACTTACATTTACTGTCTGATTAACTTTATTTCACGTAGAAATATTTTTTATGATAAAATTTTGAAAATTTTGTAGGAATAAAAGACTTACACATTACCAAGCTGCTGGGGCAAAAATTTTTTAAGTCTCATGAAAATATCTTTGACTGTGTTAGCTTCCTTGAATGGTTAAATTATCTTTGACCATTTAGTATGAATGAATGACGTTTCATCTTGTTCATCATTTCTTCCTAGTCAGGTCGGATCAATAATTCTAAATATCCCATCACATTATTTTACAAAATTTTATATAAAAATAAAATTTATATACTCTATTACATTATTTTAATAATATACTTACATAAATTTAAATTGTATTAATTTTGATATATATTATAAAGATAACATAAAATAATTTTTCTATTAAAAGTTATTAAATAGTCTAAGAATTAATGTTTGACATATGGTGTTAATAGATTTTACTTTTTCTCTCTTTATATATATATATATATAAATCTATTTTAATTTATATATAATTAAATTACAACTACTAAAACGTTAAAAATTTAGTTTCCTCTTAAACTTTCTCATTTTGACACCAGTATTGCACTTCCATGGATGATCCGCATGACCTTACGTCTAATAATCGATCCAAATTACTAAATGAATTCTAAAAATTAAAAAATAAGTAAACCATTAATAAAAAAAAATCAAATTCGTTTTAAGCAATATATTTTAATTTTTAGTTAATGTTCTAACCAAACCGCAATTACGAGTGTTGTACTGGCCATGGTAAATTGGTTACGCACTTACACTGCTACACTGTGCCGTTCCTTTTGGGTCATAAAACACTGAATAAATGGTATGTGTTGGATAACACTATCGTTTGTGGTAAGTGACATGGGACTGCAATCCGAAAGGAACAATTACCATTTAAGAAAAAAATAGTTGTTGTTGAAGTTGAAACAAAATAAATGCTACGCTAACGCTAGTCCAAAATGGGGGGGTGAAGGGCCCAGAAAGCAAATGAGTGATTTACATTCCTTTAATAGAAATTAAGATATGTTACGGTAGTATGCAAGCAATCAAATTAAAATATTTATATATTTCTACGCGACACAACCCTAACAATTTCAAAGGATAATTATTAGACATTGAGTTTGATATACAAATATTATTAGTGGCTACGTACGAGGCAATCCCTTACACACAAGAAAACAACCACCAAGGTTGACCAATACTGAATCTTCTTTGGAATATTTAAAGCTCGTCTTTATGATATGATGAACGTTTTGTTGGGTTACTAGATGACTTTTTGATTGGATAGGAAGCTTCCATTGCTATGCCACATAGACCTTTCTTGTCAGATATGTCCCTTTTCATTCTAATGTAACCCTTCTCTCCCCATTCGGATCCCCATGAGTTTTTCACTGTCCAATATTTGGTTCCATCTTGAGTTGTTCCATAGCCCACAATTGCTACCCCATGATCCAGATCAGTGCCACATTCTCCGGTAAATACTCCCTGTAATTATTCGTCAACCAAATCAAGACATAACCCACGTACAAAAATTAATTAGCAACACATTTTTTTAAAATTTACTTTATATGATTGATCATTTTTTAGAAAATAAAAAATAAATTTTAAAAATATTAATTTATGAGATAAGTCTTGTAATTTTTTAAGAAAGTGTATAAATTTTATAAAAAATATGTTATTAACATTTCTCATCCTAGGCCGGTTCAAAACCATGTTTGGTGGTGATAATACTTTAATTTTAGAAACTATTCACAAAAAGTTCATCATAAGAGGTAAATTAGAACTAAAAATTCCACCTCTGAGTAAAACTGGAAGTCAGATCCACCGGCTTCAATGGCTACAGATACAGGTTGGTTGGCAACAACTTTGAGCAATGCGGCCTCATTGTTTACGGGTACATTTTCATGACCATCAATTGACACTGTTGGCTCTTTCTCCTGAAATATGAATGAATTTTTCATCTTAACCTCATGAATCAATTAAAGTTGATTAATATATATTAAGCTCAATAATGATCACTGTGCACCTTTGATACATCACAGGTTTCGTCTTTTGCCTTGTAAGGGTAATTACTTTCTGTTGCTATACCATTTTTCTTGATGAACTCGAACGCGTATTCCATCAACCCACCATTGCATCCTTGGTTCTCTTTAGTATCACAATCTATTAGTTCTTGCTCAGATAAGAACACTAGCTTATTTGTCTTGATTTGGTTTATACCTTCAACAGCCACAATAGTTGAAAAAGCCCAGCAACTACCTATATTACAACAATGGTTGATCAAAATAAACAAAAATGTTTAATGTTATTAAGGGCATATGTAGTAGCTGAAAATAGAGATAATTAATCACTCTTTTTGATCGAGATATAAAAATCACTGACGGGAATTTTGTCTTTTTAATTTTTTACTAAGTCATTTTCATATATACCTAATTAAAATTTTAACTCAAGTCAACACATGACTTTGTTGATAAACAAACAAAATGTTATTATAGGATATGGGAATCTTCTATGTCAGATTAAAGAAATATGCATAAAACTAAAAAGAGCTAGTTGAAAAAACAATGATTATTTGACAAATAACAGTGATTAGGATTTGAGTCCTCTTAAATAAAACGTGTAAAGTGCAGAACTAAATATTTATTTTCTCACTTTAAATATTTTCTAAATCTAGAGTAGTTAAATTCAAGTATATATATTGCTTACCGCATTGGCCTTGATCCTTTACACCAGTGACAGCACCTTTCTTCCTCCAATCCACCATAGAAGGAACCCTATCAACGTTCTCATACATGAAAGTATCATTCCCACGTGGCGTGCCTCGCAACATTCTGTGATGATTAACCTTGGAGCCAGCGTAGATGCTCCTGAATTCATGGTTTGTTAGGTCAGCGAACTTGTTCAACTTCAGCTTGTAAGGCTTGTCCAGTTTATTACTATTGTAGACATGCATCACATTGGCTTTGAACACGTTGAAGCGATTGTGCTTCTCATCAAGGCTTCGAGAAACCGTGTGCTGGCTCCTCCATCTCTCGTATAAATCCCACAAACTCTCTTCGGATTCTAAATCCTTGTCGTGTACATCAAAGCTCTCAGCCATACCAAGAACCAAAGCAAGGAATAGAGCAACTAATAGAACTTTCTTTATTTCCATATTGCTTTGCTGAATATGAATTCAATGGAAGATGGGAAAATGAGAGGATCTGGGAAGGCTTTATATAGAAATGATAACCCACTGGGAAGAAAGAAAATGAATGAAGCTACAAGTTCCTTATGGGCATCAACAATCAATAATGATGATAAACATGCCAAAACTGTTGCATTCAAGAAAAATGGAGAATGGAAGAAAGGTCATGTTGGTTTTGCTCAAGTAGGTAAGCAAGAACTTCAATAAGTGAGATTAATTTATTTGTGTAAATCTATGATCATTGCATATAAGATAAGGAATTATACTTGAGGAATTTTTCTTATTAGGAAAAGAAAATTTGGCAGTTAGGTTCCTTGTTGAAAGCTGTGTCAAACTTCTATTGTATGCTTGAAGGATCATCTTTGGTTTGCATGCCAACCACGCTATTACCTTAACGAGAGTGATGGTGGAAGAAGATGACGAGCATGGTTACGTCTTGAATTGAGCCACAGTGTCCATATATGTGTGTTGCAAGTAGAGTGAAATGTTATGATAACTTCTTTTATGAGTAGCCTACATGAATCGCTTGTGAAAGTAGTGTAATGCTACGTGTGGATAGTACCACAAAAGTGCAGTGAATTCTACTTCCGAACCGTGCCACTCTTAGTACATGTGGACTAACATAAACTGGTAAAAAGTGATGACGAAAACTGTTCCCACTTATTTTACACATTTCATCATTTGGCTTGAGCATAACATACTGAAGTTTGGTTACATTGAATTACACATAGCGAGAAGCTAGAAAATAAAAAATAACTATTTTATCCACCTGTATGATAGTTTTGTTATTAGAGTTTATGCTATAAATTTAATTGCAAAATTTATTAAAAATATATTTGAAAGGGTAATTTTAACAAGATAGAAAGCCTTATTAAAAAGTTGTAAATTATTTTATAAAATCAAATAAACTGTATATAGCCTCTTTTAAATGTGTAAGGTGCATGCCTTTGGTGAGATTTACAAATTGTACCATTTGTGATATTTTTAGAGAAATCGTATCTGTATAATTTAATTTTGTACAACAAATAGAAAGATAGAAAAAGAAGAGAAGAATAGTATTATAAAAAAATATTGTAAATAAATTGATGAAGCGCCGCTATTCCATGTTTTGTAAATGAAAGTGTTAAAATTCTATTTACACGGGAATAAGTGTGTTTGACTAAACTAATTTTAAAGAAATAATTTTTTTTATCTATTTTCTAATTTTTTTAAATAAGTATTTATTTTTTAAAAATATATATCTAAACATACAGTAAATTTATTAATTGGTTGGTATCTATAACTTCAAAATTTAGGCTTCTATTCCAATTATTTGTCAAAGTCACTGAGTTATCATAAGTTGGTAAGCTAATTTGTGAAATGCCTAAAGTTTCGGAACTTATATATGTTGATTGAAAATGTTCGATTGGCAAAAGGTATCTAAAAAAAGAATTTTGAAGTGTTGATTGATTATCATTTGACTCCAACGTGACGCGCTTGTTAGTTGCTTGTAGTAAAGAGTTACATTAGCGTAATGCGTTGGGCACTACCAAATAACTCGAAAACAGAATAAACTAAACTCTTAGTTAAAGATTTTATTTCCTTGTGGCTGAAGAACATCAAGTTGGCCATGTTTACAGAGCGTGGTCAACTCTATTATCTCCTATTTTATGAAATGATGAGTTGCGTGCCTTTATTGTATTTAATCTTGATTTTATTTTATTTTTGTGAGCTCTTTTTCTAAGACATAAATCTGAAAGAGTTTTTTTATTTAGATTTTTAAGTATGACTTGAAAAGAGAGAGCCCCTTGCCTTTTGCTACACGTGTTACTAGCTGTAACGAGACGCGTGGGAACACTTGAGATCTGGTCTCGTCACTAACCTAAATTTTCTTTTTCTTTTTGGGGGTATGGCGGGTTCTGAATTTAGAATATAAATCCAAAATTTTTAGACGTTGTAAATTGCAAGGATATGAGCCTATTGTGGGTGAATTTTGTTTAGAAGTGACTTGTTAATTAAATTTTTTATCGTATTTCTCATAAATTCCACTGGTATCCAACCAGTAATGTTCATCATAAAAAATCAAGCACAATCGAACAACCAGAGTTGTAGCATTTTTTATTTTATTATGTCAAAAATATAAAAAATAGAATGATGAAATAAAAAAGTAGAGAATATGTTTTATTATTTTGATCATAATTTACAACAAACTAGTAGTTATGCATGAAAAGGAGTAGTAGAAAAGATAATAAATTAATTTTAGAAAATAGTATAAAATATTATTTAATATTTTTATTTTATTTTAACATATTAAAAGAAATGTAAGTGTAAAAAGTGGGGGTGTTATAAAATTCTTAGGGTATGTTAGCTTCTGAAAACATTTTCTGCTTCTATTTTTTATAGAAATAATTTTTATTTTTTAATTTTTTAATTTAAAAAATGTGTTTAGTTTAACTATTTTTAATAATGAATTTATTTATTTATTTTATATAAAATTTAAAATTAAATTTTCATAATAAAAATTTTACAATATATCTTTACTAATGTCAATTTTATTATACTATTTATTTAAAAAATTTAAATATTATTATAATAAAATATAATATAAATATAACTATAATTTAGACCTTGTGTGATGTACAAGTTTTTTTAATAAAAAATTATTAATCTTGTTTATATTTATTAATTTTAATAAAATTAAGTTTAAGAAAAATTAAAAAATATACACTCTTCTTAATTTTATTTTATTTTATTTAATTAAAGTATTCAAATAATGTATATATGTACTCTTACGTTTCAAAACTCTTATTAAAATATAACTATATAATTTTTTTAAAATAATAACTACAAGCATAATAATAATAATAATAATAATAATAATAATAATAATAATAATAATAATAAAATATAATATATAAATAATGATTATTTTATATTATTTAATTAAGAGGATTTTGGGGAGTGTTATATAATCAGTGTTTTTTAAAGAGTTACTAAATTAAAAGGGAAAGGATTTTAAAGTTTTTCTAAACTCTCTAAAATTCCTTTATCGTTAATTTTTTAATTTCTCTAATTTTAAAGTTTTCTCTTTTATTGATTAAGATTTTATTTTTTTTAAATGTTATTTTTTCAAGTGAGAACTTTTTAAAAAATATATAAAAATAAAAATATTATTTTTAAAATTATTTATTTTTAAAAAAAAATATTTTTTTATTTTTAAAAAAATAAAAATATAAAATATAATAATATCATTTATATAATTAAATTTTCTATTATCTTCCTCTCTTAATATTAAACATCAAAATAAAAGAGGTATTTAACATCTTTCTTCCTCCCTTTCCTTCTACTCTCCTCTCCTCTCCTCTCCTCTTTACTTCTTCAAATTATTTCTATTTTTTTTCTTTAAACTCTCAAATAAAGCCTTAATATGCATAATAATAAAAAATTAAATTTTTAATATAAAAAAAATAATAGTTACTTATATTTTATTTATTTTCGTAATAGTTACTTATATTTTTTATTTAAAATTTTTTATTGTCTCATATTAAATTATTTTAACTTTATTTTCTAACATAATTTTTGTATATTTTATAAAAAAAATTAATAACCCTACAACAAAAGATAATTAAAAATAATAAATTTATAAATATGATAAACAAATTAATTACTACTTTTATGTTTTAAATAATTAAATATAGATCAGATAGAGTACATCAGTTTCATCTAGTAGCTTTAGCTCAATGGGAGAGCGTCAGCCTTGGAAACTGAAGGGTTTTGCAGTTCGATTCTGCAAAGGTGCATCGTTTGTTTTTCGCAAAAGCTGAAGCTAGTGGTTTCCAGTTCCACTCCACCGACAACACACGTGCCACTCTGTTTAGTTCTAACTTCAAGAGATCGAAAATCAAACAGTGCAAATGGTAAATTCGACATCTTGTTTTCAGCTTCAGCTTTCTTGCCTTTAGCAGTCATCTCCTCCGGTTGTGCTTTAAGTTCAGAATTCTCACTCACAACCACTTCTAAAGCTTTAAAAAATTTTATTTAAATATAAGTCTCATTATAGGAGCGATATCAAACAATAATACGTATACTAATTTAATCTTTTGAACCTTTATCTTTTCTCATACAAAATAAGTTAGTGTTATTATTACTTTTAGTCATACTTAAAAGAATGTTCTAATTTGATCATATCTTGAGTAAATTTATTTTGAATATTGTTTAAAACCTATATTAAGAATTTGAATTTTTTTTATTCAAAGGTAAATATAAAACATTTGCTGATATTATTGAACAGAGAATGATAATTCCTTAGTTGCATCAATCTTTAAGTATATTTACTTGTATAAATATTGTGATGTCTTGTGGTTGTGTTATAATCCTTCTGAAGTAATAATTTTGATGAGACATGATTTATAAGATATTTGACTTTCATTGGTTCACGAATTGTCACAATTCAACGATAGTAATGATATGCTAAAAATGACATGTTTAAAAAAAATATTTTTTAAAAATAAAAATATTTTTTTAAAAGTTAGAGGAGTTAATATTAAAATTTATTTTGAAAAAATTTTGAAATTTTTTTTTTAGAATAATATAATTTTGAAATGAGTTCAAAAGTAATTTATGTATAGGAAAGGTATTAATACTCTACAACATCCGTTTAACTTTAAATTAATTGTGTAAATTCATTTTAATATTGAAAAATATTTATTTAATACCTAAACATTAATTATTTTCATTTAGAAGAAAAATAAATTATTTATTAAAATATTAACTAGGTATCTTAAAATAAAAAGTTATTTTAAAATTTATTTTAACTTGACGGGTACGATTTCTGCTCCTATGTATTTCCAGGTGCAATGAAGAACTCAAAGTCACGTAGTTCTATTTAAAAATTACAAAGTTAGTTGATTAAAATTAAGTTTGGTAAAAGAAAATTTATTTTAAAATTAAAATTATTTTCGTGAAATTATAATGTTTAGAATACAAGATAATGCAATTATACATGTACGTTACGAGAAACAATACAGAAAGTGAAAGAAGATTACACAACTATATGGCAAATCGTTAAAAAAACTTTATTCGCAAACGAAGTATTTGAATTTGAATTCTAATTATGGTTAATGTTGAAAAAAAATTTAAGATAGCATAAGCTATACATAAATCTCTTATAATTTATTGGATAATCGAAGGCAATGTAAATCATACATCGATATTGCAAAAGTTTATACAGTAAAATGAAAAAATATTAGTTATTTAATTTTAAAAAATTAGAAATATGACTCAAGAAAATTTAAAATATGAAATTAATTTCATTTAATAAATGGACTAAATATGTTTAAATTATTAAAAAAAAATTATTTAATTAAAAAATTGAAACTTTTTTTGATAAATTTATGTTGTATAAAACTTAAGACAATATTGGTACACATAGATTCTAACAATTAACAATGCATAAAGATAAAATCGCTACACATTGCATTACAAATTATTGTGTTAATAAAATAATTTTTATTTAAATTGATTGATTAATAAAATAGTGATTTTAAGAAATACATTTTGATTGATTATTAAGATAGTTTTCTAATTAATTAAAGATAACAAATGATAAATTAATAGTAGAGAAAGAGATACTCGGAATATTAAATTGATACAATTATATTATTTATTATTAATAATATAAAAGAAGGTACTCGTATATATAAAATTAAATTACATCAACATTTTATGAATATATAATAAAAAAATAAAAGATAACAATTATAAATTAAAAAAAATAATTAACATAATAATGAAAACTTAAATAATAAAATAACATGAAAAGATTATAAAAAAAAATTATCATTGCATTAGTATGAGTTAAATTTTAAAATTAAAATAATTCAAACATAATAAAAAGAATTTCATTGCATCGCATTTAATCTAATTTTAATAATTTTTTATTATTATTTTAATTATTATTATTTAAAATCAATAAATACAATTAAAAGAAGTTGAGTCAAAATAAATAAATAAATATGTGAAATCAAATATTTTGTTTAAGATAATAAAAGATAAATAAAATATGAAATAAAAATAATATAAATAAAAAAACTTTTATTTTTTAAATAATAAATAAATAAGTAAAATTATTTAGCTAAATAAATAAAATAAAATGATAAAAAATGTAAATGGACGATATACGATTAATACATTGGATCGGAATAGCGTAAAAGAAATAAAGGAATTCATTCATCCAAAAGCAAACAAAAATAAATAAAAAAAGAGAAATGATTTGATGTGATTTAGCTTTCAGCATATGTACGTAGCTGCAAATGCTATTACTCCGTTCTTTCAAATCATACTCCCCTCAAACAAAACGTTATATTATTAAAAATTAAAAAAGGTAATAAAGTCAGAAACTGCGAAAAACTACTTCATTTTAACTCCATTTGGTTTCGAGTGCAAGTTTTTTTTACATTACCACTCTCCATAAACTCTTCTAAGTTGTTTGCTATGCAACCCTTTTAAAGCTTCTTTTATTCATTTCTACTCTGTACAAATGTTTGAAGAAAGATAAAACTAAGAAAGAAAATATTTGAAATAGTTATGCTTCTTTTTTATTTTTTAGATCTTCTCCTTCTTCTTTTTTTGTTTTAAAATTTTTTGAAAGCTTGTGGCCTATAAAAATTTATCTTTCTCTCTCTGAAAAATGATTGTCTTTTTCTCTCCTAAAAACTTATTCTTCCTCCCCTCATATCTCTCAATTTTTTAGGAATTTTTGCCCCCTCTAAAAATCTTGCTCTCTTGATTTTTCATCCCCTTCTAAAAACTATTTTCTTTTTCTTTGAAAAATTTTTTGAGAAATTTTTTTTTTCTTTTTTCGGATCTCTTACTTGTGTATTTATATGGATCTAGTTCTTCGCATTTTAGGGTTTCACATTAAGTCAAGTTTATTAACTTTTTCCTTTTTTATGTATGGAGTTTACTCTAAAAGTTGGGTGTAAGCTTGATGCAGGATTTTCGTTTCTAGGAGCTAAATCTCTTTTTTCAAAATTTTCTATTTTTTATATAAAACAATTATATACATATATATATATATATATATATATATATATAATTTTGGAGGCAATCTCTGGGAGACAAAAAATTGATATTCACACAAATAAAATATTTTATACGTTTATTGTTGCTCAAGATAAGTTTAGTTATCCTCTTAAAGATGTTCATATTATTCTAAAACTATCAAATTTGATATTATAAGCATTTCTAATGTTTCTATTGTTAATCAAATTATGACTTCAAGATTGGAGAGTTATTTTCATAAAGGTTAGTGTTACTCATAGACTTATATGTGAAACATCATACTTCTAAGAGGCGATATCTAGTTGTTCCTTTAGATATTTATTTTCAAAGTATTACTCACTTTATGCTCCTATTCATAATTCTTTAGAGGTAGTATAATTAATGACTCAGAATATTTTTCGCTTGTTTTTTGTGTTAGTTCAAAGATTATCATCAATTATTATTATATGTTTTGAATGAGTAAGTGTCATTTATCTTTTCTAAATATGTTTTTAGTATCTTTATTTTATTGTTGTTTTTATCCATTCTTTTTTATTATAATGTTTTATTCAAGTTCTTGCTTTTTTTACCTGGCCCTTTTTAAAGGAGAGAACTTCAAGATTATTATTAATTTTGCTACTACTCACAAGGATTCTTCTTTCTAAAAGTGATTTTCTTATAGAATTCATGGATTATGCTTACAATGTCTCTTGAATTTCATGAAGTTTGTTTTGTTTCATTCCCAGCTAGATTTATTTGGTGCCTTTATCCTTGTGATTTTAAAAAGATAAAAGTTTTGAATCGTTTTGGTGGCACTTAGTTTAATAATCTCAAATTCACCTCTATTGATTGCATTTCTTAGTTTAATAATCTCAAATTCACCTTTATTGGTTGCATTTTTTCTTCCTCATTGAATGATTAAAAGTTGGCTTGAAAATTCTTGATGCAGAACATTCCTATCCTTTGACTGAAAAAAGACAATAGGAGTAAATTCATGCTAAATATAATTGAAAATAAATTGTATTATGATGCTGCCTTTATGATATATGCTTTTCATTGTGACACTTTATTAATTTATAAATGTATTATTTTGATAACTTTTGTCATTCACTTAATGTAATGTTTTGCAACTTTGTGATAGAAAGGCTTTTTAAATGATGAGTATTAAATTTTTTAGAATTTGTGTCATTCCCTTTAATGTTGTGCCATCTTTACTTTGTGATAAAGGCGCTTTTTGTATAATGAGAGTCAATTTTTAGAGATCTTCTGCTCATGAAAGGCTTATCACATGATAACTTTTTTTTTTTAAAATAAAAAAACATTATATGTGAAATCAACTATTTATATATATGCTATGATGTGTTATTACAATCTAATTATATATTGATGTGTTTATGAATGTATTGTTGTTGTGTGTATAGTTAATGTATTATGTCTAATAAGCGAGTTTATTTTTAGCAAAATGTTGTATGTCATATGTATCATGTTAAAAAAGTTTATCGAGTTACATATCTTGTTTTTACAAAATATATTATATATTATTGTTCACTTTAATATTTATAATAACCAAAGGACCTATTAATTATTTTTATTTGTATCACTTTTAAATATTTTATACTCAAGATGTGTGTGTAATAAATAATAAAAAATATATATTTTTAACAATTAAATAATAAATTAATCTTTTAATCAACTGGTATATTATATTTATATTAATGAGTCTTTCTAGTGACATGTTTTAAAAAAATTGTCAATTTAACATTTTTATACTTTTTTTTCAAAAGCTTACCAATTATATGTTTACTAATTGAATATGTTTAGTTGTATTATTTATTCACTTTCATTTTTAAGTATAAGTTAAAATTTTATGTATAAAATTTTTGCAGATTTATTATTTTTTAAATTTATTTCTATTTTTCAAAAAAAAAAACTATTGATTGCAAATTTTCATTCATATAAACATATGTTAACATGCAATGTTTAAAGAAATAATAATTAAATTTTATTGTTATATATTAGTTTTGGACTAATTTTAATATTTTACTCATTATTATTAAAGTCTGTTATTATTTTAGAATTTTGAAAATAATAAATATTTTTTAATTAAACTTGTTTTCTTTATCATAGTATCCAATTCTTATTTTGATTTATACTATAGAATAAAATAAAATAACTTAAATTTATATTATTTTAGCACAAAAATAAATATATTTTTTAAATTAAATATGTATAAAATCATGCTATCACATTAGTTATTACTTAACTGAAAAACTTTATTACAAATTAGTCTACTCAAATTGCATTTGAGATATTGAGAACGATTAATTTAAATGAAACTTCGCATATAATTGATGTATGAATAATTTATATAAATACGATAGTAAGCAAAATAATAAACAAATTAATTTTAAATATAAAAAAGAATATAATAGTTATCTACATTTTTTATTTAAACTTTGTCTTCCAACATAAGTTTTGTATATTTTTAAATAAAAAAATTAAGACTTACAAAATACATAAAAAAAATTATAAATATTCGAAACAAATTAATTACTATTATGTATTAAATAATGAAATGCATATCAAATAGTTAAAGATCAATACTTATATCTAGTACCTTCAGCTCAACGGGAGAGCGTCAGTCTTGGAAACTGAAGATTTGCAGTTCGATTCTGCAAAGGGGCAACTTTGAAAATATTCTTGTTTTTATGCGAAGTAGTTTTCCCTTACTTTTTTTGGGTTCTTTTCTCCTTAATTCTCTTAACGGGCCTGGACAGTTCACTTTTAGATTGTTCTTAACTAAACCTTTTTTGTTTAAAAAAATATATATATGTATTCAGTTTTTTGAATTTAACTAAAGAATAAAAAAATTACTTAAACTTGATACTATTTTAACATGACCAAAAAATACAATATTTAAATTAAATATATATAAAATTGTGCAACTTGTCTACTCAAATTGCATTGAGATTTTGAGAGTGACTAATTTAAATGAAACTTCGATTAGAATCAATATATACATTGTTCCTAATTTTGAATGGTATAGTATACTGTGTATGAACATCAAACAGTTTAACAAAGAATTCATCCAGCAAATCTGAAAACTGTACAATTCGGCATAACCACACACCCCGTTGCATATATGCAAACCTTTGTTCCTTTTGTAGGGTCAGTGTATTCAAAGAAATGAAAGGCCATTATGTCCAGATGCAAACAGTCCCATTCTTGTCAGCTGAAGCTAGTGGTTTTCCAATTCCACTCCACCTACAACACAGAACAGAAGAAGTGTGTTCCTTCAGAGTACTGACTATATCACCTTTAGATATTGACCAAATATAGACAGATCCATCAGCAGATCCAGCAGCAACGTGATTGTCATCTGGGCTGATACAAGAGCGGCTCCAATTAGAAGCCACTCTGTTTCCCGTGGCTCTTAATGTGCCACAAACTTCAAGAGATCGAACATCAAACAAGTTGTGCAAATTGTCCCTTCCACTGGTCAACACAACATTTCCATTTCGTGAAAGGGATATTGATGTGACTGCAAGTGAATGTGCAGCAATCTCGCTAAGTAGCTTTCCACTCTGAATGTCCCATAACCGAAGATTACCATCAACATGTCCAGAAAATATGGTCTGACCATCCATGCTGAAGGAAAGAGCATTGCAGTTGCTGTGAAAAATGATTGTGTTTGTGCAGTAACCTTTCACCAAGTCCCAGACTTTTATAGTACGATCATAAGCTGCACTTACAACATGACGACTTGAAACCTTGCTGACATCAACAGCACAAACTTTATCTGTGTGGCCTGTGAGGGTATGACGGACGCGGCCAGAGTTGAGATCCCACACATACAGGTTGTTTGAGCTGCTTGCAGCAATGACAGATCGATTATCATGGGTGATTGTGAGATCTAATACTGAGCCAAGGCAGCCGTGAAGATTAGAACTAATGGACCCTGTATTTGTATCCCACACTTTAACCAGCCGATCCTGTCCCCCAGTAATTAATTTACTAGAATTGTACTCAAAGAATATGGAAGCACAACCACCTTCGTGTGCACGTAACCTGTATTTGCATGAGGAAGGGATATTTGACTCCGAAAAGAATTCAGCACCTTCTTCACTCCGGCGAACTATACCATCTACCTGCTGCCTTGCAAGTTGTTCTAAACCACTGGCCTTTAGTCTCTCAACCATGTCTTCATACAGTGCGTTGGCCTAAAGTGATGGGAACTAAATTATTAGTTGAATACACAGCATACACAAAAACAAGAATTAGTAGCATTACAGTTTTGTGAAGACTCTACTCAAAATAAATTTACACTACTAATGTAACTAATCATGGTGATTCAATTCCATCATGCATTGACTTTTAAATAGATAAATCACTAACAGACAAGGTTCAGATTTCAAACTAAAAAAAAAAAGGTTATTAGTGTAACAATGATGAATCATGTACATGACATTTACCAGAGAGTTAGCAAGGCAGCATTGGTAGCAGGTTAGGGTAAGCTGAACTTAGTTCTAACTTCTAAATAATACAGAGAATGTGTACCAATACTAAATATCCAATTCTGACAACGCAAATGGTGAATGGGCAGCTATTGTACCTCATTAAGGCGTTCAGCATCCTTCATCTTTTCGAACATCCAGCGGTCAATCAACATCTTGTTTTCAGCTTCAGCTTTCTTTGCTTTAGCAGTCATCTCCTCCAGTAGTGCTTTAAGTTCAGAATTCTCACTCACAACCACTTCTAGAGCTTTAATCTTTTCTTCCAAGTCCAACTTCAACTGAGAGCACTCATCCCTGCAATGTTAACTCATGTAACACCATCATTTGCCACAAACTTAAAAAACCAACACAAAGTGTTAAGAAACATCATACAACCTCATTTCGGTCAACTCTTTTTGCAGATCAGCCACAGCATTTTCTTTCTCTTGAACCAAAGCTTTTGAAGCTCTGGACTCAGCCACTTCCACAACAAGTTGCTCAGACAGCCTCGATTGAGCTTTGTAGCATTGCTGAAGTTCCACTTGAAGATTTTCTGCTTTCTCTTTCCACTCAGAACCCTTCAAGGACACATACACACAACATTTAACCCAACAAAACCATTCCATTTGTTAAACCGTTAGAGACAGACCATGATCCAAGCAAAAACAAACACCCATGTCAAGCAGCACACAAAAATACCAATAACACAAATGTAAGAAAGGGAAGGGAAGAGTGCACCCATTATAAAAAAACCAACAACTTTGCTGAGTAAAAGATTGGAAAAATTGCTCACAGGAACTATTCAATTGTAACGAACAAAATTCTAAAATACAATTAGGAATGGAAATTAGAAAATCCACAAATTCTGCAATCCTTAAAAAGAGAGGATGACGTTTACAGTGATTACAGAAAAAGAACCTGAGAAACGAAGGGTCTAGAAAGTGCTAGAAAGGAGGGAGCATGAGCGGCTTCTTCGAGTAAATGGCGATTCCGCAGAGCCTTCAAAGCGTGTTTGATAGCTTCACCTGCAATTTCTTCTTGCGACTTGCAAGCTTTTGCCATTGCCGGTGAAAACACCTAATTATCAAATCAACTGTTTTTACTTTGTTTCCTGGAATATAAAATTGGGAGTAAATAATCACCGGAATTTACAATTTTGGATCCGCGAAGAAAACAATATCGAACAATGTTTCCGATGGAGGGGAAGAGACCCCCCTTTTTTTTCAGGGATTCAATGAGGGTACAGAGACCTGAAAGTGGGGTCCCACACCGAAGGTTATTATCCTTACAATAAAAATCTTGGGGGTCCAGGCCCATACCACAAGTACCACTGTAAGCCCATTTTGGGCCACTTTAACACATCACTCAGTTGACAAAAATTATTTCAGAAAATTTTCATTTTCCCAGTGGGCCTAAAAACAATCTTCTAACAAACCAATAATTAAAAAAGTTCCTCTATTCTTTTTTATAAAAATAGATTTTTAACGATTAATTTAATAAATACAATTTAAAACTAATAAAGTTAAATATGAAATATTATTTTAAAAAAAAAACTAAATGTGTTAACTAATTTTAACAAATTCTAAATTTTGAATACATATAAATACAAACTGTGTTAAATATTTTAAATTTTTTTTATCATAATTTAGTTGACTCAAACAAAATCGTCTCAAGTGTAGAATACATGTACTATAAAAAAAGCCAAAGAGGAAAACTTTCCATTTCATGTTAACTATTGGCCTAAGTTTAATGTTTAAAAATTATTTGTAGTTAAGATCGAATACACAGTGCATGTGAATTCAAGCTCGTACTGGGATCAAAGGCTTTGGACAGTGACTAGTGTTTTAGTAAGATATTACTACAACCAAAAAAGTAAGATATTATAGTATCCATTATTGGATTTGTGCTTTAAAAAATTATTTGTACTAGTTTTTTATATTTATTTTGTGACAATTTTGATCTTCATTCTCATATCTGTGAGGCATCTAAATTTTCATACTCACAATTTAGTTAATTGAAACACAAATCATACTTTCGTACAATTTAATGAAAATATTAATTAGAAAAACTTTAAACATAGTGTAAAGTTACAATAAGTTTAAAAAAATACACAGTGCATATGAATGAATAGATATAAATATTATGATACCAGTCTCTACACCATGTCCGAACTGATCCAAAAATTAATTACCCTATCTATTACAAATATTTTTTGCAAATACCAATAGAATATTATACTCATTGTCATCTCTATTCTGCTGCCGTTATAGTGAATTATGAGTGGAAAACTATCATATTTTAGTCTACATTCTGGCAAACGTGTTCGTAAAACTATTACCATTCTGCATGCAAATTCAAGATTTGCATATAACAACGTATCAAATGTGGTGCCCCAACAGCCAACAAGGCCTTCCAGAATTATTGTCTTCACCTCTTATTTGGTTTTTAAGATAATACATATTTCTTAACAAATATTTATTAAAAATTATCATTAAAAAGACTTTTTAAAAAAAAAACAAATCCGTACTAAGAGTTAGAGTTAGAATATAGTTGTTTTTAAGTATTTATGCAAAATCTGAATAAATGAAAGTATTATTTGAGGAAAAAAGTAATGTTATCTTAATTTTTTTAAGCAAAAATTATTTTAAAATAAATTAATAAACCCAACATGACGCAAAAAAAAGTGAGACAAACGATATAGTGGATAATTCACCTGAACATGTTGATAAATATTTCCTTTCTACCCACAACTGGCAAAGGGTAAGGCCATTTTGAAAATCTCTCTGGCTTGAAAGTGATTAAGGGGAAAAAATGTTGTCCCAATTTAGGCAGATTAGCTGCATTGGCAAAATTAAACCAAATTGTAACAAAGTAAAGAAGCTACCAACAATGATATCGAGAAAATCTAATTTAGAAATTAACAGAGTTTGGGTACGAACAAGGAAGATTTTATCATGTTAACTTTTACAAGTCATAATAAATCGCCACCCTTCTAGGCTTTAATTATTTGCTTCATTTCTATCTTAAGACTAAAACAAGGTTAGAGTCACCTGAAATCCCAAAATATCCAAATCTATAAAGAACCTATGAAGCTACGAAAGCGACATTAGCATCCTGTAAATGATAAGTTAAACCCCCCCAATGTGAGTAACTATGTATCTTTGTACTATCTCTCTCCCTATACCAAACCCATTATTGCCAATTATACAAATGCTTCAAGAGCTTCAGCGAGCTCGAGTTCTATCCAACCAATCAAGACTCTTCCTAGCCCTCCCAAAATGAACATCAACGCTTTTCCTGGATTTGTCATTGTGCTCCGTGTTTCTTCGAGATCTCTCCACATAGTCAAAAGAGATCCTTGACTTCTCTAATGTTTCAACATTGCTGAATTTGTACCCTTGAAATTTCAGTATTTCTTTCCCATCAGTGCTTTTCCTTGGTTTGTCCCTCATATCAGTACTCATCCTTGGTGCTTCAAAACAATCAATGCTTTTTCTGGCTTCTTGAACTCTATCTATGCCTCTCCAAAAGTTTAGTCCTTGAGATGGAGACTTTTCTATTGTTGATACAAATTTTTTGAGATGTTGAAGGTATTCTGGATAGATTTCTAGATTGCAGTGGTTCCCTCCTTGGAGCCATAAAGGTTCATATTTCTGTTGACAAAGTTCCCACAATTGCTTGCCATGAGAGCAATCAACAACCTCATCATCAGTTCCCTGAAGAAAGTACAAGAATGATGGTAAATTAGTCAAGCAATACTAGTACCCAAAAAATAAAGATAGGAAAGCAATATGTGTGAAGTCACAAGATCAGAAAACAATTTAACAAGCTTGTATCTGCAGCACATTGACGTTGCTTTGACCTTGATGCCAGTAAAGTCTGCTTCAATGAACAGGCTCCTACTTTTTTTTAGTTTTAATTAACTCGCTCGTGATATAAAAAGCAGCACTCTCCATTTATCAGGAAAAGAGGGCTATTTATTATTTGGAACACAATGTTAGCTCTAAGCAATATGACTTAAAGACTACAACCATTGATAACAGTTACAACTTATAATAACCACAGAACATATGATAACAATAGTTAGCAGAAAATTCAATGTAATAAATATTGAATACTTACATGAATTACTAGCACTGGACACTTCACCATGGGAATTTTATCAATGTTCTGTACAACAAACATGGAACTAAGTTAAGGTACAAATATGTAGTTTTCTTAAATCAAATTACACCAAGCATATAGGACAATGACAAAGTATCTGACCTTGTAAATGTCAAACCAGTAAGTCCGTTTCACAGGGTACATGACTCTCAGCCCAGATAGTATAGGACTGTGGAGAACAACAGCCCTTAGTTGGGGTAAGCGCACAGCAAGGTCCAAAGTAGGCCCACTTCCAACAGATTGACCATAAAGGATAATGTCTTCCTGCTTAGTACCATAGTTCTCTTCAAGATACTTATAAGCAGCTTCAATGTCAGCATAAGTATTATTCTCACTTGGCTGTGGAATGATATCCAATTAAGTGTCCTGCTGTCATCAAAAGAATCAAATAAACCAAAAATAAGTGTATAGTGTACTTACCTTCCCTGATGACTGTCCATAACCAGAGTAATCGTATCTGCATACATTAAACCAACGACCTTGAAAAAATCATCAACATGAGACATATAAATGTGTTCTTTAACAAGCTACATTACTATCATAAGCATAGAGATTAACAATCTAAAATATACAGCTAATCCATCAATGTATACAATATCATTTGTACAGAAAAGATGTAACGTGACACTCCATAGATTTGAAGTTATATGATATCTAAAACTACGAACCTACGTGAGCTTTTGTATGTTTGAAGTGTTGTTTAACCTTTTTCTGGAAAAGCCTGTGGAAGAAAAAGGAAAGACATATCCCCTATCTGAGAATAAAAGGAAATATATAGGTCAAAATTACGATGGATCTAGTGTTGTTGCATGGAGGCTGATGTGGTTGCCTAGGCACTGAGGCAAGGTGGGTTGCATGATTCATCTATGAAGGATCGCTTTTCCTTAATTCAACAAAGCAGCTGATGTGTCTGCATAATGTGACTCTTATCCCTAAAACACTTAATAGCCAACGGGAAGGGATCTAATCCAAAGGGATTTTTCAGTCACATTCAATCATCCAAACCAAATATGACCTAGAATTCCACTCCTAGATTGTCAACTAACCTACTCTACGTGCATGAAAAAGTTGAGAGACCAACAGTCTGCTGACATATTTCTTGTTTGCAGTTGGTTGACATGCATTTCAGTGTTATTATGTTTCCCGTGTTGTGTACTTGGATCACTTTATGTTTTTATTGCCTTGTGGTGATGTGATTTGTATTCCTAATTTATGTGATCATTAGATGTTATATGAATCATTGAAGTCTTAATATGGATCTCATCCCGCTTATGCTTCACAACAACAACCGTAGCATTGAATTCTCTCCTATAAATGCCCATAACGAACTTAACCGTGTACTCAGCCCAGTTATCGCTTCACTACAACACTGGCTGCATTGAAACATATCCAATAGATATAACTAACTTAACCGTGTATCCAACCCCATAATTGCTTCGCAGCAACATTGGCTGCATTGAAACCTGTATGGTAGATGGTTATAACTAGCCTAACCGTGTATCAAACCCAATTATCGCTACATCACAACACTGGCTGCATTAAAATCAATCCAGTAGTTTCTTATTAACATAACCATATATCCTTGAAACACATTTGGTCGGATAAATAAACTCCAACTTCCTTTCCATAAACAAATGCCAACTTGATTAACAATCACCAAATTTAGCTGATATTTGAAACACACTAAAAATAATGAACTAGCACACTCCCACCTTCAAATCATTATTTTCCATTCATGGAAGAACCACAGAAAACGCATGAATCAAGTACACATCCAACATTCAGTATACTTCCGAAACAAATCTACACAAAATAGCCAGAAAATCATCATTTCTCCCCAAAGGCAGCAAAACAGACTGAACACAACCTAACCAACCCCGCACAATTTTTCACTACAAAAATTCTACCCCAAATGGTACACAAATAAAATTACATCAAACGAAATTCACACACCCACAATTAGATTCATCAAACGAAATTCGCATACTCACAATCAGATACATTGGAATGAACATTTCAATATCATGTATATACCATGTATGACATTAATTAGAAAAGCAAAAGAAAAAAAGAGAAAGGAAAGAGCTTGAATTACCCCAAAAGATTAACACACAAGTGCTCACTCAACTCCACGAACAGCTCATACATCTGTCCAATATCAGCAGCATTCCCATGCGAGTAAAGGATTGTGGACTTAGCCATGGGGTGTTCCACATACACACCCACAACCTCAGTTCCACGCCGAGTGCGAAATTTCACAACTTGCACGTTCTCACGCTGACGAAAAGCCGCCAACATCAACATCCCCGTCCCTCCCTCCTTCACCACCTTGTACGACGGTGGATTCGGCGGAAAGAATGCCAGCTTGGCCGCCATTGACGATGTAACACCACCCATCTCTGATTTCTCTCTATTCTCTTCTCACAACAAAGCTACTTCACATTTTCTTTCTCTCATCTGAATTCTCGCTGCTACTTCTACTTTTCTAGATGCATGTAACTTCTTGGTTACAGGACTTGTATATATATAATGAGTCCTGTCACAGTGTTTATAATCCCCACAGTACAGTTTTTACTTATTTAATTACTATATAAGAATTAATTTATTGAAAGAAATTGGGATGTAATATATTTATGTGTATAAATATATTTAAAAATGAAAGAAATAATATTTTATTGTTTTTTGTTTGTCTGCCTTGTTGACGTCCATTGAAACTTTTTTAAGAGAGGCTGGTTGTCTTTTGTTCACGCTCACGTGGGACGCTACTGACCCCAGTTTCTTTTTCCTCTTCCTTTGTGGTCCCCTTTTGCTTTTTTCCCATTTTTCATCTTATCCTTTCTACTTCATCATATTTGCTTTTCCAGTAATCATGTTTTCATATTCATATCAACAAATATAACAAATGTTTCTAGAATTTTATTAACTAATGTTTTTAACGCATTAATATTTTTAAATATTATATTTCCAATAAAAAATTATTATATACAACTATATAATATTCTATTCCTTCCATTTTTTAAAAATAGTCATTTAAAGTTGTGACACAAGAGCCAAAAAAATGCATTTATGCAATAAATGAATAAAGAGAAGATAGAAATGGGTTTTGAGATAATAGTTATTTTAAAAAATAAAAAAACAAATTTACCTTGAAATTACAAATTAATTTTTGTTCAGAAAAATAAAATTAATTAAAGAAACTATTTTTTAAAGACCAAAGAAGTACCCGTTAAAAAATTGTATAAAAATATTGATTAAATAGTTAATAAACAATACTTTTATTGAGTTGTAGTAAAATCGTTGACAATTCTATTGGCAGTTTATTGCAAGTAATTAATATTTCTTTTGAATGGGGACTTGACAACAAAATATTAATAAGGGAAAAAGTATAAATGTCTCTGTGTTTTTTTATTTTTAAAAACTAAAATATTGAACGTCATAAATTCATTCTATTAAATAATAGTATTTACACTTAGTCATTAATGTTTTATTAAAGTAGTATTTTTTTAATTGAACGAAGAGAATAATAAAAACATAGAAAAGAACAAAGAGCGGTGGCCTAGGTAATATGATTCCTTGTTTCTCGAAGTGATGGTTGCTTCTCCAAGAGACCTTCACCATGACTTGCCTCCTAACGAGGGAAAGCCTTTCGGCCTTGGGTTACTTAAAACAAAGGGATAAATTTTACTTCTAAATTATATTGGTTTTACCTTGTTAATTTATGACAATTTTAAATATCAAATGTTTATTGATATAAAACTTTAATTGTAAGTGAAAAAAAAAAAACTATATTGAAGGCATCTAGAAAACTATACTTAATATTTTTCTTTCTCAATAGGACCTCATATTGACATGGGCACAGGATTGTCCTCTTTAATGCACCGGTATTGCTAATGTCACCTTAATTAACCATTAATTAATCGTCTAAGAACTTTTTTTCTCCCGAGGGAAAAATTCAACAGAAAACCCGGATTTCGGGTAATGAAGACAGATCAGGTTTTATGGTAATGAAGACAGATCAATGGGTTCAATTGTCTTTAGTCCCAAAATTCAAACACATAACATAAGGTTCGGACTGTGGAAGGGACCCATGTTGCAGGAAACACTATATCTTGTGTCCATCATTCCATGTTTTCGCTCTGTGTCAACAACCCGCAATTTTTCCGAGGAAGCCAGGGACCAATAAGACAAATCAATACAAACTAAAAATCAATTCAAGTTTCCTACCAAGAAAAAATTAAATAAAATCAATTCAATTTATAGCTTTACCTACATGTTTTAAACTTTCCAAATGCATAATTCTTACCCTTCTGCAGTGATTTCATGGAAGAAAAAGGTTAACCACTTTCCAAACATTTTTTTACGTTTGCTTAGATAAATTAAGAATACACTGTTAAGGTCGTGGTATAAAGAGACAAGATTAAGTTTTGATGATAATTTTAAATATCACATTATTCCTAATTTTGTTTGAAGAAGAATGATTATTGATCAGGGAATTTAAGAAAAAAAAAAGTTATTGATTTCATTTTATACAAATTCAAATCTAAAAATATGTGCCACAAAATAAGAAATGCGAGTGTTTATGTGGAAAAATAGTAATGTAGAAGCTATTTCACTTTAAAGAATCAAAATCCAAATTTGTATATATTAGATTTGCCTGCATGGTCCTTTATTTTTTCCTCCTTTAAAATAAGTGATATATTTTAAAGAGTAAAGTATAGAGTTATATTTATTAATTTAAAAATCAATAAAAGAGATTTTATCAACACATATTTTTTATCATAACCTTTAATGGATAATCTTTTTCATCTCAGGGACTAGACGTGACTCGTATTTCAAATCTTTAAGCCCACCATGTCTCTAGCCTGAGATGGTCCTTTTTATGGTTTTGGACCACAGGGTGCACCCAGGTTCCACAAACACACTGAATATTTGTTGGACTAAGAAACTATGTGTGTTGACCTAAAAACAAAAAATAAACTGTGTATAGATAAAAATAAAAAGTCTTCGTTGTTAAAAAAAAATATAGTTTTCACATTTTTATAAATTAAATTAGAATTTTATTAACTTAAAATTTAGGATAAGCAGTTAATAATAGTAAAATTTATTAAAAATAAAAATATTTATTATATTTTTATAACTTTAATATAATAATTATGTATTTTTTTAAAAAATATATATATTTGTAAATATTTAAATTCAATCCTAAAAACTGCAATTAACAAAACTTATTAAATTAAACTATATATGTGCACTTACGCAAGAAAAAATGTTAGAAACTCTTATTCACTTTATAATTGACATTACAAATAGTAGTGCACGTACACCTTTTCAAAAGCAAATATATCGGATACGGATCCAGTACAGTTGACGCGAGAACTGCACGTGCAGTTCTTCATTCGCTTAAGCCATTTTGACACGGCTTAAGCGAATTTGACAATTTTAGCTTAAGCCCGTATATGCTAGCTTAAGCGGACGAAGGCTTAAGCCAATACCACAAGCATGGAGCGACACATTGAACTAAAGCGAATGGGTGATGCGCTTGAGCTAAAATATACTCGCTTAAGCGAAAAATAATAGAGAGGATTACAAAATGGCTTAAGCGTGCTTGATTTAGCTTAAGCTGATGAGTTGTGAGCTTAAGCGCATATTTATAAGGCTTAAGCGCGTATATGATGGGCTTAAGCAAAACCTTAATGGCTTAAGCCTAAAAAAACAGAGAGCACACCTCCTAGGATCACACATTCGCTTAAGCCTTCATGACTTGGCTTAAGCGGAGAAACCAATAGCTTAAGCGGATATGCTTTAGCTTAAGCTAAAATTGCATAAAAAGAATGCAGAGAGAATGCTCTTTTGGACTGATAAACTGGCTTAAGCTATAACATATTGGCTTAAGCGAACCAATACCAGCTTAAGCGAGAACTATATAGCTTAAGTGAAATTTGTGGGCTTAAGCGATTATTGGGGGGCTTAAGCGAAAATGCAGGAAAATTGAAATACAACAGCTTAAATTGACAGACATGGATATACTATTTCTGAAAACAAAATACATTTGTCCTTTACATAATTGTTTTTGGCAAAAGAAAATAAAATGATTACTATATGTATGTGACAAGTTTTAATTTATAAGATAATTTGTTGGATTTATTTAGTAAACAAGTCATACAAATTATAAAAGAGAATCAAAATAAAAGGAATTTAGATAGGTGGTTAATAAAGTGAAATTTCATAATTTAGCTGCAACAAACTAAATAGGTCCTTGAAACTTTACAATATGAACTAACTTCAAACATAAACTAAAATCTAAACTTTAAAACCAAATAAAGAAAAAACAAAGTGTTCATGCATCTTATAGATCAACATCATTATGAATAGGCTGGTCGTCCTCCACATGGTCTCCTTCCCCATCACCACCTTCATGATCAAGTTGTGCTTCCGTTTCTTCTTCTTCCCCTTCTCTTTCTCCCCTTTCTTCTGGTTCCTCTCCTTGTGGTCCACCATCTTCATGATTTGCATTAGGTTCATTTGAGAAGGAAGGTGTGTCTCCAGGCCATGACACTACACTTGCAAAATCCTCTGGGGTTGGCCATGGAAATGTTGAAGTCTCTCCTGCATGCTGGTGTAGGGTAAAGCGATAGAAAGAGTTATTAAGGCTGGTGTAGGCTCGATGGTTAGCCGTCATCTGGTAGTGTATATGTGTATATGCCCGATTGTTGTCCTCCATTTGTTGCTGTATTTGATTCAGATGTTGGGTGATACGCCATTCCATGGGTGTCATTTTGGGGATAGATGGTTGTGCTGATGGTGGTGCTGATGAAGAAGGATCAGAAGCTGGGTGTGGTTGTGGCTGTGGCTGGTCCAATGAGTTAATGCAATAGTTGTTTATGAACTGGGCATTTATAGGTTTTTTCAACTTGATGCTTTGTGTTGGATTGTTTGGTATCTGAACACCTTGGGCAGCACATAAAGCAGTGATTAATGCTGGAAAGCCCAAGGGCTTTGTTGCAGATGCATTAGGGGAGTTGGTGGACAAAACAAGCTGGTGAATCTCCTCAGAGATCATAGTTGCAATGTCAATTGTGAGGTTTTCCATAATGCTGAAGACAAGGTAGGCCCGAGGCATGCGGAGATCTGATGTGTGAGTGGTTGGAGCAATGTTTGCAAAGAGAAATGACATCCATATTTGAGTCAGTGTCTTCAAATTCCCTCTCTTGAACCTCATTGGCTTGCCTTGATAGTTAGTTTCATATGATTTGTTGGGAATGCATAAGGACCTTGCTACATCATCATCATTAAATCCTGTGGTCAGGCGCCTCCGCTACTGGTATTCGCACAATTGTCCTTCTTCTAAGGTGAGGGGGTTCCCCAGTAATGCATTGATAACATCTCTATCATAGGAGATAAATGTCTTTCTAACGCAAGACTTCTTCTCAGATTTTTGTGGATGCAAGGGCCATGCATTGGCATAAAACTCCTTCACTATGTCTACATCAATTTTAT